AACACCTCGCCCTACCCCAGAGGCAGAGGGCTTTTCTGTTCCAGTTGTGCTGCTGCTGCTTTTTGTGCTGAGGTAGTCTAAAATTACTTCAGACCAGTGGTGCTCAAACTTGGCGTTAGAATCTCCAGAAGGACTTCCTAAACTGGATCACCGGGCCCTAGTTGTCAGGGTTTCTGAAAGTGTGGTGGCACCTGCAATCCCAGTGCCTGTGTAGGGTTCAGGGCCTAAGAGTGTGCATTTCTGACAAGTTGCTAGGGACACTGCTGGATTCGGGCAGCATGCCGTGGGAATGAAGGCCCTTTTCTTCAGGCCATGTTAGCAGCCTTCTGTAATGAAGGCTGTTACAAGAGAATGTAACTATTCCCTTACATTGGAATAGTTACTCCTTCATCTGTAATCTGAATGTGGGTATGGCAGCCTGCTGCCCGGGATAGATGTGCCCCGGCCCCTGCACAGCTGTGCTTTCACCCCTCACCTCCCTTCTGCCTCAGAGCCCATGCCACTTCATAGTGTTTACATACTGAGGTCAGGAGTTGCCCAGTGTTTCTATTTATGGTAAAAATAAAAAGTAATTATAGTGTCTACCACAATATTTTAGTCTAGTATATTAAATTTACTTTGCTAAGTTATTGAGTAGGGAAAATTAATTGTATTTATTCATTTTTCAGATCGTCTTATTAGGCACAGAGCTTGTGCTTTAAGAGATACTGCCTATGCAATAATTAAAGAAGAACTTGATGAAGACTTTGAGAAACTTTGTGAAGAGATTCAGGAATCGAGAAAGAAAAGAGGTAGGAAAGAAGAAAGAAAAAAATGCCTCAGCTGTATTGAGCCCTTTAATCAGGACTTTCTGTAACTTTGAAATGTAGGAACCTTTTTTTGAAACCCCTTGTCTCTGTTTATAAGGTTGTAGCTCCTCCAAATATGCCCCGTCTTACTACCACGTAATGCCCAAGGACAACTCCACACCTGCTGCTGACAGATCAGACCTAGACCAGAGCGAAAAAGTGCAGATTCCCACCACTCCTGTGGCTTCCAGTACACCTAGTAAGTACTCCTGGCTGGTATTGGTTTATGAAATTGGAACCTTTATCTTTCGTGTATATTTGTCCTCCCAAAGCCTCATGCAGTCATGGGACAGACTTCTAGTTGTCATTAACTCGTGATCCACTGGGATTATGGGTGTGAGTGCTGCTACAGCCTGGGGCAGAGAGCCTGAGTGCTACATAAGGAAGACAAGGAAGACGGACATGCAGACATGCGTTTGGTAGCCGTTGTTGTCCGTGCTCCTCCCTTTTGCTGTCTGGTCTTTGCTGCCACCATGAAAGGCTGCTCTCTGCTCTGTGCTACTCTGCTTTGAAGCCAGCTGAGTGGACTGAAACCTCCAAGTAACTGTGAGCTAAATAAACCTTTCCTTCCTTCATTTTGGGTGTTGGATATTTGTCCCAGCAACAAGAAGAGTAACCAAGACATCTTCTAATACAATTTCCTTTCTCCACTTTCTTTATATCTCTTTGACTCTGCTTCGTGCGATCTATTTCTTTCCTGTATTGCTCATTCAGGGAATCCGTCATTTTTCTAATCTCCTCT